ATTTATTTATATCTCCTGTTTTATTACATTGTTCCTCTAAATATTGCTACAATGAACCTTCCCCTGCACGTTGTTTTCTCTGTTTTAGCTTCTGGTGCTATCTTTGAGGAGCAAACTAAAACCAAACCAAATCCACACCCATTTTCAAATTGATTCCAACACATGGAGAGCCTGTGGCCCATCACCCCCATTTTAATACTCCCCAAACCCCTAAAAGAAACACATTTATTAAGATGCACAGTTAGTAGAAAATACTCGAAATAAAACGTGTTAAGAACAGTGTTCTCCCGGTTTCCCACCTTGCTGCTCTCAGCTGGACTGCGGATGTGGAAGGCAGGATGTTAACTGGGGGTTCGCTACTCTCTGAAATCTGGGTATATTTGACTCATTCCCTGCCACCCCCAATTCCACAACAGAGGAAGTTCAAATTTCTGTCCAGTTTCCTGCTTCTTCCTGGGTGGAGTTTTTATAACCGGCCTCTGTTGTCTCAAAGGAGCCCAAGGTGGCTCACTGGCTTTGCACTTAGCTATTTGAATCTACTAGTTTGACTCCACGAGTCTGCTGCTCCTTGGACGAAGGGGTGACTGTCTGCTTCCATCAAGACTATACAGCCATGGAAACTCTTATTTTGTCCCCGAGGGTCACTATGCGTAGGAATTGACAGCTATGGGTTATGGGGTCTCTGCATCTGTATCAGTTAGATTGAGTTTTGTGTCACATCAACTAAGCAGTAACCCCACCGGTGTCCACCCCCCACACCACTCGTATCATGCAGCTGAGATGTTAATGACCTTAATGAACATTTCAGGTAACGGAAGCATTCATTACAGTCAGCCCTTTCCTTCCCTTCTTCCTCCCCACCCCCTTTTCTTCTCTTTCTCCCCATTTCAGGCTCTCTCTCTCTTCTTCCTATGTCTTTCTTCCTCGGAAATAGATTCTCCTCAGTGCCTGCATAGCAGGTGAGAGTCATCTCTCAAATTTGAGTGTGCCTCCTTGGGATCCATCTATACCTTGAATAGTTTAAACCCGTTGACATTTAGTCAATTCTGATGTTTAGCAACCCTGTGGGCGGAGTGAAATAGCTCCCTGTGGTTTCCGAGGCTGTAAACTCTTAAGGGAACGGAAAGCCTCATCTTTCTTCCTGGGAGCCGCTCATGGATTTGACCCAGAGACCTTCTGGTTAACAGTCCAATGTCTAATCCACTATAACACAGTTTATTAAGATACTGATTCTAAACAAACTCATAGCTCTCTAAGAGGACTCTATATAGGTAAATGATGCCGCATCCCTTATTTTTCTCAGATAAACTAATCTTCCAGATTA